ACACTGCGATACAGTCAGCGTTTAGTGCGAAACATTTCTCGAATGTTCCACTTAAGAACTATAGTTAGACACCTGCGCCTTTTCACTTGTCTCCAAGATTGAATGTTGTTATAATAACATAATAATTAAATTGTTACTGGCACACTTTTGGTCCCGTTATTATGCGTGCGGTTTAAGTTAGAAGCTTTCAATTGTTTTTATAATTAACAAAATGAATGTAAGCTTTTCATTCAGGAGTTTCGAAATGATTATCATTAGTCGACTCTGATGCGTTATCTTAATTAGTCAGAACTAAGACGGAGGAGTGAAGTCGTGAAAATAAATCGAAAACTTATACCACGCATTGAAGCCTCCATTCCTTCGCTTTAATATCCGTTGTTATTTCGGATTGTGACACTAAATCATTATTTATTTGACAATGACTTAGACCTACGAATAAATTAGACATAGACCGACGACCCGGTCAAAATAGCTGGTAAGGATTGAATGCGGAAGGAAAGAGACCGAAAATAATGGAGTACATATGAAGAGACCGACACTCACCATTGGGTAGATGCAAGTTGAACAAGAAAGAAAGAAAGAAAGCGAGAGAGAGAGAGAGGCATACATAGAAAATTTCGTTTCTCCGGTTTCAAGTAATTCAATGTAAATAGTTCGATCGGCTTATCCACTTAGTAACCGACAATTTGTAAGTGTAGTTACGATGTGCTTACAAAGTGCTTCAGATAATGGCCATATTTTTCGGCTATGTGTCCGTACAATTTTTGTACGGCCTCCGGTTTTTGTACACAGTATATGTAAATATAGTAGGTATAATAAGTGCAAATTTGGTTTCTGCACTAAGATGGATTCAGAACAGAGCTATATTAGACCTTACGGCCTTCTCAGCTCATACATACATATGTTACAAAGTAGCATCAACACTAACATACATAATTGTCTCAAACCTGCTAAATGTCACAATGATAGGAATAATATTATAAAAAACAAATCATTATATCCTTTATAGATTTTCTATAAAAATGATTATAAAAGAGCTACAATTACACTATTACAAAAAGTCGTAAAGAACTTAAACCCGCTTAATCCCATAACTTTGACCGATACAATTCCAATAGTTATATTGATGGCATTCCAAAGCTGGAATACCGGTATTATAACCGCACATTATTATTAATTTCTTGTTTTGTTATTTGGCAACCCGAGACCTAGATCCGATCACGTCAATTTCGTGTAAAATATACCGATATCTTTTTTGTACGTTATTGGAAATTAAAACGATAAAGCGGATCCTAAATCTTTCCTAATCAACGAATAATCATTTTGTGATTTTAGCTCAAATAAATTGTCGAGGTCATAAAATAGACAGATATATTTTTATGAATTATTAATTGTTTTTTACTACATACATACATACATAACATATTATAAATAAGAGATTAAATATTGTCAATGTGTTTTATTTTAAAATTAACAATAGAGAAGAAATTTATCCATTAAAATAAGACTTATTAAGATATAAAGCAGCATAGATATGACCCTTGGATCCACATGTTAACGCAGATCAATTGATGCATCTCGTTTAGATATTCATATGTACACAGGCAGCAGTAGTAGTAGTAGTAGTAGTTCTAGTAGCTTAGAAATATTTATGCGATATATTTTTTGCATTGTAATTACTGGTGGTGGGGCCTCTTGTGAGTTCGTGCGGGTAGGTACCACCATCCTGCCTATTTCTACTGTGAAGCAGTAATGTGTTTCGGTTTGAAGGGTGGGGCAGCCGTTGCAACTATACTTGAGACCTTAGAACTGATATCTCAAGGTGGGTGGCGCATTTACGTCGTAGATGTCTATGGGCTCCAGTAACCACTTAACACCAGATGGGCTGTGAGCTCATACACTCATCTATGCAATAAAAATAAATAAAAAGTTTAAGTGAAAATGGTGATTTTTTACAATCAAATATTAACTGTTAATATCTAAAGAACAGCGATACATGTTCTAAATAACTAGTTGGGGCCTCCACTAAATCAATAAAATTGATTTTTGAATATATTTAATGTTAATTTAAATAAAAACGGTGACCTTGTTTCACAATCATAGTTCACACAAGGTCAACGTTCGATTATAAACTGATTTCCATTACGGCTTAAAATATTCGATAACGAATCATAAGATCGCTTTTAGAATCAATCTTAATAATATGTATTATATATTATGCCTAAATTTAACTAAAATTGAAACATGAAAATTCTTCTTCTTTTTCTCCACCTTATCCCACTAGGTAGGGCCGGCACTGCGCCACTCACGGTGTGTCGTCCCGAGACGACGTCCTGCGGGATCTTCCCGTCCTGTTGTCAGGACGGGTACCGGCGACGGCAAGCCTTCGGCGCGCTTTGTGTTGTACCGTAGGTTTCGTGGAGTCGAAGTGGTGGAGCTCGATGGGGTTTAGTCAAAGCCCCTCTCGGCCGGATATCCGTAAATGGAATCCCCAGCGTTAAAAAAAAAAGGTGGCTTCGGCACAGCTAATTTTTCTCTTCTATCAGCCGTCATCGCAACACTCACTCCTCTCTCTCTCATATCGTCATTCACACACTCCATCCATATCTTATTCGGTCGATCACTTCCCCCTCTACCTTGCACTACCATTTCCATACATCTCCTAGTCACATGCATCTTCTCTCTACGCATCACATTTCCATACCACGCTATCCGTCCGCTCTTTAATTTGTAGATTACCGGGGCTACGTTCACACTTTCTCTGATATACTCATTCATGAAATATGAAAATAAAATCTAAATATACGTCCTGAATATATTTAATTTCGAGGCGGATAAAAATACATCTCTCACATTAGGCTTTATCAGTGGTCACCTAAATATCATTGAGAAGAGCTACGCTCGGAGTTTTCCACGTGATCAAATCAGGTACTAGATTAACAGGAGAATCCTGTTCACTGACATAGCCCGACAGATTGCGAGGTCGAAATGACACTGGCCAGAGCGGTTTAGTCTTAAAATAGTGCTGTGACGACTTCATGAAAGTGACGGCATTCCTCTGGATGAGGTCAGAGCAGGACTGATCATTTTGGCGAACTCTGGGACTCTATGTCCAGTACTTATAGCTTATGTATGAAAGCTGCGAAGATCGAGACACTTTTATATATATTTTTAACATTATGTTCTTCTTTCTTCTTCTTTATCTTTCGATCTCGACTTATCGACCTCATTTAGTTGAAAAAGATTGGTACAAGAGGAAGACTTCTACTTTTAAACGGAAACATGATATCTATATAAAATTGGATGTGCGTGTGTACATACAAAATCTAAGAGACAGAGAGAGAGAGTATTTACTTTATTGCACACCAAAACACAATCAGCATTGATAAACAGTCAACAGGCAGATAAAATTGTACAATAGGCGGTCTTATCGCTAAAATAGATCTCTTCCAGACCATCGTTTTTATCTACAAAAAAGGATACAACAAAGATATGTTACGGTATACTATTATTAAATGGATCAAACCTTAATGCACATAATTGAATAATACACAACACAAATAAACAATAAAAATATATATAAACATCATACAGATAATATAACACAATACTATAAACTCGAAATACAAAAAACCTTTTTCTTTCGAACTGGCCACTGATAGTTAAAAATTATAAGACAGTAGAGACTTAAGCAAAGGGCGCGCGTCCCGAGTTGACTTTCCACCAGTGAGAGCTGTGGGAGCGAGACACAATGCGTCTTCCGCTGTTTTCGCAGTATTCACGGCATGTGAAGTGATTTCACAGAGAAAGTAAAAGTAGGTCACACGAACATTCGCTCCAATGTGCAAGATGACTAACTATGATGTGCGATAAAATCGTGTGTTTTTTTGGTAGACATCCTTATTTATAATTCTAGTGGATGCGGTAATTTCGACCAGCATTGTTCGCGGTAGGGCTGAGATTAAGCGTATTTAAATTCAGTACCGTTTGTTTGTGGTCAATTACGTTTGAGATCACATCTATACTAATATTATAAAGCTGAAGAGTTTGTTTGTTTGAACGCGCTAATCTCAGGAACTACTGATCCGATTTGAAAAATTATTTCAGTGTTAGATAGCCCATTTATTGAGGCTATATAACATCACGCTAAGACCAATACAAGCGGAGCACCAATAAAGAATGTTTTAAAATCGTATTTTTTTCCTTTTGAGAGCTTCCGCTGCGTGCGCTGCAGAAACGGTTAAAGTTTCGCTAAAATAATGTATGACAGAATTGTTCCCCTTTAAAAGATCTGAAAAAAAAGTCCGCGACAGCATATGTCTATATGCTAAGGTTGGCTCACTATAACGTTTTTATACTAACCAAATTTCTTGTTCTAAAACAAAACATTATTTGTGAACTATTCCACGCGGACGAAGTCGCGGGGAAAAGCTAGTGTGTAGAATAAAGGGCTCGATGAAGAGACTGGACATGGAAAGACTTATGGTTCAAGGCCAGACGGAAGGCAAGAGAAAAGCGATTGACCAACAACCTTATAAAGAAAGCAACTGTCCACAATGGGTCAGCTTACTCGAATCACTTCGAACCTGCAGATCTGGAAGCGCATCGCCAGGAGGGCAATCCTCGAAAACATTGGGGACCTAACGAATCCTTTAGCGTCAGAGCAACCATGACCAATTTGATAAGAGTGTCCACTGAAAAGACCGTTTGCTTGGACAGTTTATAGGACCGCATAACTATTACAATTCTGTCTGTCTTTTTGATTGAAAATATAGCCGTTGTATCTACGCCATTTAAACTTCTGTATTTTGTCTCAATATGGTCCGCGGTATTACTCTTGTTACATCTATGGGCTATATTGATCTTTTAAAAAGAGCAATTGTCATTTGAAGAAAAAAAAAACATCTAAATTATACACGATCAGTCAGTTATCAATTAACAATGTTTTAATTTGTTATGGACGTAAAGAGAAACCTTTTAGTCCCGATAATGGTACTCACCGCAAAACGGTATTCCCTCAGGAATCCACGTTCCATCTCTCGTACACACCCTCCTAGAGGGACCGAGCAGTTCGAAGCCTCGATCACATTCGTACCAGGCAGAGGTGCCTTCTGTCAGGCTGTCGTTGGAGAACGTCACGTGGCAATGGGCCGGCGCTCCCGGGAAGTTACAAGCTGCCGATACATAGCCTGCAAATAATGAGAGACAAACCTTAAATATATTACTGAAACTCAACAAGTCACAAAAATAATAATCATATTATGTTTATTTTATGCTAACGAGTCTTTTTATACTGTTAACCGCATAATCCACTCTTAAGAACATCATTTATAAGGGAGTTATAAAACCGAAAACTTAATAGATTTCGATATTTCTTTTAGGTATAGGTGTTAGCGCTATGTCGTGTCTTTCTTCAAAACGTGGTTCAAACTCCTCAGCGGTAGGTTTCTGGTTCTGCTTCTAGCATTGCGTCCAGGGACAGCTTTAAATGTTTGCCATTTGATGGTGAGTATGCCATCCTTTGACACGTAAAACCAAATAATTTGCAACAGAAAGTGATTCTGCCTCTAGCATTGCGCCCAGGGACAGCTTTAAATGTTTACCATCGGATGGAGTGTATGCTGTGTATGCTTTCCTTTGACACGTAAAACCAAATAATTTGCTACAGAAAGTGATTCTTTGTTTACAACAGGTCCGAGAAATAATTATAATAACTATGTGGTAAATATTATTATGCTACTACAATTATAAATGGTACTTATAGAATTGAATTGGTTTAATCCAAAATTTTTGTTTTTTGGTAAACTCCAAAAATTTATTTGAAGAATTGTAATTTTTTAGTTTTTTCGATTTTAATACTTTAAGGTATGCGCTTGATTTAAAAGTGACGGAAAGAGTACGTTTGAGCTTTTCTGAACTAAAAGGACTGTTTAATTTTATAACCTGACTAGCCGTACTCGCCCGCTTCGCTGAGTATTTAAAATTAACATTATTATTTATTGTCATTATTATTAGGGAGTCCAACACCCATATATAAATATTAGCCTATCCATTAAGTACATGTATTTTCTACATGGATACCAAGTTTCGTAAAAACCACTGTAGATTTATATATTAGTATAGATAGAATCCATCTTTATAAGTCGTTCGAGTAATAAAACTCATTTTCTTAAAAAAAAATCGTTTAGCCAATTTTAAAGTCGCGAAATGTTTTGCTGTCATAATCGAGAGGTCATTGCATCGTCTCAAATGTCTGTTTTGCGTCACACTTCAAAACATAAATAGCTAAATAGCGCATTCGCAAAACAAAAGTATAAAATTCGCTTGATAATTAATTTTATAATACGAACATTTATTTCGCAATAATTTCGATTTTGATTACGAAACATGTTTCATACTATTATTTATTAGTAATCGATTACTACAAAATGTTTAGATGACAGTTTCAATAGCGCGTGTTTCAATTTGTGTCTATATAGAATTTCAACACGGCACTAATTAAGGTGTGCATAACATTAATTTAATAATCTATCTTTACATTACTTCAAGTATATAATAATATATTTAGCTTAAAATGAATTATCTGTCATATTATGAGATAATTGATTTTAAAACACTCGATTATAAATATTTGCTTGAAAAAGTTGCGTCGAAATTCGATTATAATAAATTGAAATTATAAGTTTGAACATTATTAAGATTCTATTGTCAAAGACTCTTATACTTCTATAATATAATCAGAGATTTCGCCAATACTACACTATAGACAAATAATATTAAAGACAAACAATATTAATATATATGTATTCTCAATTTCACCACTTTAAAATATTTGACAATAAGCAAAGAGTATATATTATTAAGTTTGTGTTATGTCAAATATACGGTAGTGTGTGTAATTTTTTTTATTGATATAGTGTATTTTTTATGCATAACTAAAAAAACATTAACATTCTGCACTTCTTCTCTATATTCTTTATAAGATTGTGAAATTTCATCTTCCTCAGTGTGCGCAATTTTCGTAAAAATGGGTACAAAGTTTTTGCTTCACGTATTTATATAATATAGATTACTAACTGACCCGGCTGATTTCGACTTAATTTTTGTATAAAATAAACTTAAAACAAACAAGAGGAATCCGTATACACCGTATACATCCGTCCACAAATAATTCAAGACCAGAATTAGCCAAATCGGTCCAGCCGTTCTCGAGTTTTAGCGAGACTAACAAACAGCAATTCATTTTTATATAAATAGATTAGCAATATCCGTAGAGAGATGAATGCGAGATTAAGATTACTAAAAACAAGTTGTTAGGAAACCTGAGACGCCTTCCCCCACATCATCTGAGCCCTTGAGCTGGCCTTCCGTTCTACAGTAGCTGACTGATGTTTAATAAACCATTAAAACCTTTAACTGGTTCAAAAGAGTTTAGTATTTGGTGCCTTACATTGTTATACATTGCATGCTTCTAAAGAGAGTATTGTTTGCTATAAAACCATTAAGAAGCTAGCTAATTAGTGTTAAAGACTCTTAGGCGTAACTTTAATTGCCGAGAAAATCAGAACTGTATTATCTAAGTAGATTAGGTAATATTACAAGATACGTATCGAGATACGTATACGCTGTTCGTATGCCTTTAACGGATAAATAAATGTAATGTTTTTAAAAATTGTACACAGTCGCATCGCTCGATACGAATTCACCGGGCCTCTTATATATTAGGCCACAACGACTTTAGGCAATAACTATAAAAATCCTTCTTTTTTTTACTTTATGACGTTTTATGTCATTCGTGTATTCTATGGATTTGCGGTTGACGTAATACTGTCACGTTTTTACATCGAGTACCGTATTCAATTGTAAATATCGTTAAATTGAGAAATTCTTTCGAATACACGCAATGAACACCAATATATCGCACTACACTAAGGTAATTTGTATTGAAATTTTGTAATATCGGCAATAGCATGTGTTTAGATTAAGTTTGAATGTCGAAATCGCGATTTCCTAAAGGAAATGTAAAGCCCTCGGATCTATTATATTATAATAGAAATAAATCAACGTATTTTATAAAGGAATACATAAGAAGTATGTACCAAAGATGTTTAACGAAAAAACCACAATGTTACAAGATGGATCGAGAAAAGGTACAGATAATGATTAAAATTCCGTTTTCCCGCTAATTTTTATGGTATTATTTTTTTTGTTTTTACGCACTAAATGTATTGGAGGGTTTACCATCCATTTAATATCAAATAGTTATGGAGCCCAGAGACATAAATACCAACATCCACCTAGAAACACGAGACCAACACACAGGCATTTACAAATAGAAAACTTGTAACTCTTGTAAGTTGTCGTGGCCTAAAGGATAAGACGTCCGGTGCATTCGTATCGAGCGATGCACCGGTGTTCGAATCCCGCAGGCGGGTACCAATTTTTCTAATGAAATATGTATTTAACAAATGTTCACGATCGGCTTCCACGGTGAAGGAATATAACATCGTGTAATAAAAATCAAACCCGCAACATTATAATTTGCGTAATTACTGGTGGTAGGACCTCATGTGAGTCCGCACGGGGGTAGGTACCACCACCCGCCTATTTCTGCCGTGAAGCAGTAATGTGTTTCGACTTGAAGGGTGGGGCCGCCGTTGTAACTATACTGAGACCTTAGAACTTATATCTCAAGGTGGGTGACGCATTTGCGTTGTAAATGTCTATGGGCTCCAGTAACCACTTAACACTAGGTGGGCTGTGTGCTCGTCCACCCATCTAAGAAATAAAAAAAAAACCTTTATTTTTCAGTTGTTGACAATAACCTCTAATCTATTTAATAACTTTTAAAGTAACGACTACGAAATCTTTTTGTTTTTAAATTGAAATAAATAACTTGTCCATGCAAAATGTTGTTTACGTTTTAAACAGGATAACCATGCATTTCACAACGTGGCGGCCTTTGCCCACTGGTTTTAATGTATGAGTGAAAACTCAATCGAATTTCAATTTAAAAGTAAATCATAAAAAAACATTCAAAAACACTAGGTACAACAGTAATCTTCAAATCGGAAAGCTTGGTTGAAGTTGAGGTTGATAATAAGCTTTTTTCTTAATGAATATAACATATTAACAGATATATAAAATCGAGGATCCTGAAATGCTATTTTGTTTAAGCGACATTTCGCTTAGTTCGCGACATTTATCTTTGTAATTACAGGTCCGTTTTATTTGGTATTCGCATCAACAATTCGTTATTTTTAATCAAGTTTCAATTATGTTTACACCATTTTAGTAGCTGATGTATTGTTTTATTCATGAGAGTTTCTTTCAAAATTTTAAACATTAAATGGCTCTTCTGTAAAATTTCAAAAATGTCGCCTTTTACCGCTTGAAATGAATGTTAGCATGTTTGTTTGTTCGTGACCGATACATTCGTTCGTCTTTCTTGAAGCCTTTAAGGAAAGATTCGTAAATGTACGATCAACGTATAAGAGACATTAAATTTCACTATTACAACAGACTGAATCAGGTTTTCAGTAGTAGTTAATGGCGAAAATACAATAGCTTTAAAACAGATGTTAATTTTTTCATCAATCCTATTCAAGGATCGGCCATCAGTATTGGGGCTGCGTTTAGCAACTCTGGTTGTGGTGATAGCGTTGCTGACGATGCATCTTCGGTCGGTTCGGGTGTTCCGCTGGGAGCAGTCGGTGTCTGGAGGGTTGCTTGTGACGTATTCGCTGTCCACTCTCGGCCTTGCGCTTTGTGCCGGCATCGAGAGGTGTGGCGGCAACGCTTTCCAGGTTCGACGGTATGACTTTTGTATAATACTATTGCATTTATCGTCTTAAATCGTCGTACGTAACATTAGGAGCGTCTATATCGTATTTCCTAATCTGCTCCTTATTTATATATATATTTTTTTTCTTAGATGTGTGGACGAGCTCACAGTCCACCTGGTGTTCAATGGTTACTGGAGCCTATATATGGAGCCTATAAATGCGCCACCCACCTTGAGATATAAGTTCTAAGATCTCTGTATAGTTACAACGGCTGCCCCACCCTTCAAACCGAAATGCATTACTGCTTAACGGCAGAAATAAGCAGGGTGGTGGTACCCACCCGCACGGACTCATAAGAGGTCCTCGCGGGACCTCTTGTTCTGCCGTGAAGCAGTAATGCATTTCGGTTTGAAGGGTGGGGTAGCCGTTGTAACTATACTTGAGACCTTAGAACTTATATCTCAAGGTGGGTGGCGCATTTACGTCGTAAATGTCTATGGGCTCCAGTAACCACTTAACAAAAGATGGGCTGTGAGCTCGTCCACTCATCTAGCAATAAAAAAATAGATCGACAATAAATTAATTTTTATTTTTTTAGGCATTCATTTGTGGAGTCGGATCCGCGCTGTTCGCAGTGAACGCGGCGACGATATGGCGTCGGTGGCGCAACGTGGACGACCTGACGCGCGTCGTCGCAGAGCTCCTGGACGCCCTGGGAGTTCGACTGGGGCGTCAGATCATAATTAAAGTGCTGCTCAGTACTGCGACCGCTGTATTGTTACTGGTCGACCTGGTACTTTCGCCTTTGTTGAGGCCTTACGATTAGAAGAGGTGCCGTGATTTTGAATAAATGAAAGCATTTCTTGGTTTTTTTTTTGCTTAGGTGGGTGAACGAGCGCACAGCCCACCTGGTGTCACTAGTAACACAAATGATTTTTACCATGAAGGCGCAATAATCATTTAAACGCATTTTACTTAAATAACATAGTTCAGTGGCACATAGCTTTGTTGAAACCTATACATTCTATCTGTTCCTTCGCGCATTTCCATATAATTTAAAGCACTTCGTCGCCTAATATCGCTAGCCCATTTTCCGTGAAACATTCGTAAAATCACAAACACACCATACCTTACCGCTTTTCGTTTGATCGGCTGTATTTGTTATGGAAATAATTATGATTTTGCCATGGTTAGCTTACGATCCGGCCGATAGCATATATATTATAATTATTTATTGAAGCACAAGTAAAATAAACTAGCAGTAGGTAAATATTCAAATTCGAACATGTGCTTGCTGTATAGTATAGTATACATATTACACTTAAATGTAGATTATCTGAATAAAAATCGATTGAAGAGTTATCGCAAGTCCCGAGAAACATACCAGGATTTATTTATACAAGAACTAAGAAAACTTGAAAAATGATAATTATTCCAAGATCAGCGATCGACTTAGTGAGCTTTGAGTGTTTTTAAACTATGTAATAGAAATTGGCAAGTAGGACACACAAATGTTTGATTAGTGAGCAATCAAGACAAAGTCACAGCATTTGGATATGATCGTACAGTTGAATCATTTTATTTCTTACTTGCCGTACTCGCCCGCTTCGCTGGACACTTAAAATTAACATTATTATTTATTGTTATTAGGGAGTCCAACACTCATATAAATATTAGCCTATCCATGAAGTACATGTATTTTCTACATGGATACCAAGTTTCAAGTCAATCGGATGTATAGTTGAGTAGTTATACCGGAACATCCGTAAAAACCACTGTAGATTTATATATTAGTATATATGAGTCGACTATTATCAAAGGCGGCAATGTGACTTTTGGACAATTATTGGTAAATCAGAAAAACGAAGCGTTGTAGATCTGAAGCGTTGTAGATCAGTGAAAGCGGTTGAAACTTGACGTCGACCGAACGAAGATGGCCGGAAACTAACGTGATCGGTCCGTGCGTTTGCGGAAGCGTTCATGCGGAAACAGTGGAAATAATTTGAAATTTGAACGTGGTTCTTATTACGTTACTAGCGACCCGCCCTCGCTTCGCTTCGGAAACTATAATTTATTATTGATTTCTCCATTATTTAATGGATGGATGGATATAAACCTTCCTCTTCAATCACTCTATCTAGTAAAAAAAACCGCATCAAAATCCGTTGCGTACTTTTAAAGATCTAAGCATACATAGGGACAGACAGATATATAGAGAAAGCGACTTTGTTTTATACTATGTAGTGATTAGCCGACTTTTAAAAAAAAAGAACGAAAAAGGTTAAGTATAATATGTTTCGTGTCTCATAAAATTAATTTTTGAAATGGTTTTATTGTAATACCATCCAATTGCGCGCGAGCTCGTGTCTCGTTGGTGGCCAACTTTGTTTTGTCTATGAACAGCAAGTAGGCCGTTAACTTGTCTATCAAGAAGAGAGTATCAACCTCATAAATTTTATTCTGAAAGCGAAAAATATTTAGGTCATTTTGTAGAAGTGTCAGCTTATTATCGGAGCAACGAAAGCGTGCTGACTGAGGCAGACCTCCTTAATCTGCGATCCAAGAGATGTCGTTGACTGCAACCTACTCGTCGAATTTAAACATTCTTATCATAGAAAAACAGAATAACAGTGATACTAAAATTTGTAAGAGCATTAACATTTTTGATCTGGAGAAGTAAAGTATCGGAACAGCACGGTGAGTACTTTCATGATCACTCATTCAAAGTCTTCCAACATCATCGAAACTTCGATTACATGGTACAATAACAGCTGTACCCGTGTTTTCAAAATCTACTATTCATTTAGTATTTAATTCACAAATTGAAATAATTTTACAGACTAATCTGGCCTTTTTTTATTGTCGACGAATCCATAAGCAATTCGAAATATCGGAAATAGTATAATGGTAATAATACGATATTCAACTGTAAAATTTGTTTTAGCTAAGCCTATGACTCGCTAAAACGCGAGAAAATAATTCAATGCACTATTTGCAACATGAATTACACGAACGCTACGTTTCCCTTTGCCAATCCATGAATGTCACTGTCAACTTTATAACGGTAGGCAGCGGCTTGGCTCTGCCCCTGGCATTGCTGACGTCCATGAGCGACGGTAACCACTCACCATCAGGTGGGCCGTATGCTCGTATGCCTATACGGCAATAAAAAAAAGACAACTTAATTTTGGGAAGACGTTTTTTCACACCTTTTTTTCCCTATGCCGGTAAGGACAATATTACAAAACGTTTTGCGCTTACATAACACGCGTACCTTGTTAATAAAAGGTCAACGAACGATATGAGTACACTTTTCTTAAAGTTGAAGGATATTATCATTCGTTGTCCCCTTCGACGATTACAATGTGAACAATTTAAGAGAGTAATTGAATTGTGTTTTTTTGTTTTTGTTTAGGCTAATTTCACACCTGTATTTGTCGTCTTTCTTTTACCGTTCTATAAAATGCAAAATAATTTATTTTGATAGATTGGATACTTTCTTTTACGTGCTATTTATAATTAAGTGATAATATATATTTTATTTCGTTTTCATAAAACTTTCATTTTGATTACGAACCGTTCATTGTGTGCGTCATCAATCCTTCGCTCTAAAGACCTATCGACCTTATGATAATAATGATTATGAACTATGTGAATAGGGTACATACGCAATAAAATATCTTACTGGTGGTAGGACCTCTTGTGAGTCCGTGCGGGTGGGTACCACCACCCCGCCTATTTCTGCCGTGAAGTAGTAATGCGTTTCGGTTTGAAGGGTGGGGCAGCCGTTGCAACTATACTTGAGACCTTAGAACTTATATCTCAAGGTGGGTGGTGCATTTACGTTATAGATGACTATGGGCTCCAGTAACCATTTAACACCAGGTGGGCTGTGAGCTCTCCCACACATCTAAGCAATAAAAAATAAAAATAAAATTGTATAGTTTTCAAACGGCCTTCGGACCAGAACGCATTATTGTTTCGCGGCAGAAATAGGCAGGGCCCTTAGCATACGCTCGTAAAACATACCTACTATCTATTTCTTTGTGCTACTGAATATAATGAAGCTAGCGTAAGACGAATTAAATCCGGATTTCGAATAAACTGTTTAGCCTACTGATCATTGCATCGTTCATACAATATGCAGTAAAATAATTTGTCTAAATCTATATATTTTTACCGATTTATACTGACTTGATCCCCAATTCCATCCGAAGCATCGTAGTTTAGTATTCGGGGTCATTGACCTCTTTATCAAAATGACAAAGGGATACAAAAAATTCTTGGACTAAGTACATCCCTAAACATTTGCATAAAATTATGAATAGTATATTAATATATAAACATAAATTCACTGAGATAGCTGTGCGTTAATGAATAGCCTCATGGTGTGAGATGGCACCTTGACCCTGAGTCAGGCGGTCAGTTGAGTTGAGTCATTTATTCCAGTCTCGTGTCTAGGGCTGCTAACCGTGTTCTATAAAAACAATGCTTTATTTCATGTAAACATGTGTATTTTATAATTTCTTCGCCTTTAAAGTTAAAGAGTTCACTGCGTTCATATAAAAAAATACTCTCTGTCTTTTTCTGTAATCATGACAACGTGTATGCAAGCTGCCTGCTAGACGTTAAAGCGCAACCAACAAAATTAACTTTCAAATTTATAATACTAATAATTACAAATAGCACTATTTATGTTTAACAATGTACCCAAAAACAATCCATGTATATAAGGCAAAAGCACAAATTTTATACTTCTAAAAAAATTGACAACCCTACTCATGACCTAGCTGAATGATCGATTCGATGTACTTTGGTTCGAAAGTGACAATTAATATGTATCTTTAATTAACTTGTGCTTGGCTGTTAGAAGTAATTAAAAAAAAAAAAACAAGAGATCTTTAAGATTTGTAAAAAATCATAATTTGCGATATAAGTATTGAATTTTTACATAAGTTAAAATAAACCTGACTTCATGTACGATTTATTTCAGACCCTCAAAACGACACTTGCTTTAATTTACAATTTACACATGATCACAAGTGAGCTATATGATATGTAAATACATAGTAATAAAAACACGAATTTATAGATGCGTATTTTTGTATGCTCTTCACAATAATATTAAAATTAAAACATCGGTTTTGTATCAATGATTTCACTTTTGCAAATGCATACAAACATATCGTTGATAACATATTTAGGACTAGCGGCCCGCTCTGGCTCCGCTCGGGTCTTTAACAAAAAACTTCAACGATATTTGACGTTCTTTTATTTTTTTTAAATAAAATAACACTTATTGCGGCATAACTATAATAGTTCGACATATTATGCTGTCGCGACATTTTTTGTAAATGATAATGTGCTCTACAAAGTCGTAGTATTATTTTATTCTATCATTAATAGATTTCGCAGGGCACGCGATCTAAAAAATATTTTAGGTAATTTTTTTACACCTTGGGTTACATTATTGGAGTTTAAGTAAGGATCACTAATTTTTTTTCAAAAAAAATGATAGTTATGTTTTTTTTTTTATTGATTTCGATAGGCAGACGAGCTTACGGCTCATCTGATGGGAAATGATAACCGTCGCCCATAGACATCCAAACTACATCAGTGACTCAGATGCGCTGCCTATCCTGGCCTGGATGGGCAGCCTTATGTATGTTACACCGGCTATCCTGTCCTTCAGACCGGAACACAGTATTACTGTTTTGCGGCAGTAATAGACAGGACGGTGGTACCAACCCAGGCGGGCTTCTACACAGAACCCTACCATATGTCACTCTGGAATAGTGTAGCTTCCAAACAGTGAAAGAATTTTTC